AGCCCCAAAACCTAAAAGAAAGTTATGGACACCGAAAAGGGGGTTCTTATAAAGATTTCATGAGCGCAAAACCCACTTCCTTTGATGGCACTGGAGGTGTCATTTCCCTCACCCGATGGTTCGAGAAAATCGAATCCGTCTTTGAAATCTGTGCTTGTTCGGAGTCCGATAAAGTAAAGTTTGCAGCCTTTACCTTCATTGATAAAGCCATGACTTGGTGGAACAGCCGAGTCAAATCCCTGACCCTACCTGTAGCCAATGCTATGGGTTGGGAAGCCATGAAAGAACTCCTTCTGACTGAGTACTGCCCTCGGGGCAAAATACAGAAGTTAGAGCACGAGCTCTGGAACCTGAAGATGAAGGGTTCCAATATTGCAGCATACACCTCGAGGTTTGATGACCTGGCACTACTCTGTCCGGGAATGGTTACCCCGGAGAGTAAGAAAATAGAGAGATTTATTTGGGGGCTGACCCAGCCAACCAAGGGAAATGTCTTAGCTGCACAGCCGGATACGTATGACAGCGCCAAGAGTTTAGCCCAAACCCTAATTGATCACAGTGATGATATTTAGGAAGCCACCACCACTCCTGAACCGACTAAGAGGAGTGGTGAGAAAAGGAAATTTTGGAAGAAGAAGAAGGGTCAATCATCTCAAGGATCCTCAAAGAAACAGCAGACTGTAGCAGTCCATGCTGCTACTACCCCCGTTGCTGCTGCTTCTGTTGTGGGATCTACAGCTCAGACCCCTACCAGTAGATATGCTAGTAACCTTCCTCAGTGTGAAAAGTGCAAATACCACCATAACCCCGACCCCTTCCGCGAGCTATCATGCACCAACTGTGGTAAAAAGGGGCACACGGTCCGATTCTGCAAGGCACCAGCCCAATCAACCAACAAATCTTCTAGAGCAGGTGTTGGTCAAGCCTACTACAATTGTGGAGAAGTTGGGCATTTCAAGAGGAACTTCCCCAAGAAGGAGACAACTGATAACACTGAGAGAATCCTAGCCATGGGACGGGAAGAAGCAGTCGCCGATCCCACTGTTGTTTCGGGTACGTTACTTCTCGACAACTCTTATGCTAATATTCTTTTCGATTCGGGTGCTGAAAGAAGTTTTGTTAGTCATTCGTTCAAACATAATCTGAAACCTAACCCCCAACAATTAACCGAAACATTTACCGTCGAGATGGCTAACGGTGAGAAAGAAAGCGCTCGCAACATATTCATAGGTTGTACCCTTACCCTGAACGATCATTCATTTCCCATTGATCTTATGCCAATTTCCATTAAGAGCTTTGATGTTATCATTGGCATGGATTGGTTGAGTCCCAGACATGTTGATATCCTTTGCTAAGAAAAATCCATCCGTCCCAACCTTCCTTCTGGTCAAACTCTCATAATCTATGGCGATAAACTCAGCTCCAACCTTCGCATCATTTCCTGCATCAAAGCTCAGAAACTCTTACAAAAGGAGTGCCAAGCATTCCTAGCCCACATCATTAACGAGAAAAAGGAAATTAAAGACCTCGCGAGCACCCTCGAAGTCTGTAACTTTCCTGATGTCTTTCCAAAAGAGCTTCCAGGAATTCCTCCCGAACGTCAGGTCGAATTTCGCATTGACCTAATTCCTGGAGCTACCCTTGTAGCCATGTCTCCATATCGCCTAGCTCCAGCAGAAATGCATGAGTTATCCAGCCAACTCAACAAGTTACTCAGTAAAGGGTTCATGAGACCGAGTTCGTCACCCTGGGGAGCTCTGGTTTTATTTGTAAAGAAGAAAGATGGATCCTTCCAGATGTGTATCGATTATCATGAGTTGAACAAGTTGACCGTCAAAAACCGATATCCTCTTCCGTGAATAGATGACCTCTTCGATCAACTTCAGGGAGCCAGCTACTACTCAAAGATAGACCTTCGTTCAGGGTACCATCAGCTACGAGTTCATGAGAGCGATGTTTCTAAGACAGCTTTCAGGACTCGGTATGGACACTACGAGTTCGTAGTGATGCCCTTCGGTCTAACCAATGCACCGGCTATGTTCATGGACCTGATGAACCGGTTATGTCGTCCCTTCTTAGACAAGTTCTTCATTGTGTTCATAGACGACATACTTGTCTACTCCAGAAGTGAAGAAGACCACAAGAAACACTTGAGGTTAGTGTTGGAAACCCTTAGATCCGAGAAGCTGTACGCAAAATTTTCAAAGTGTGAATTCTGGATCCGGAGGGTAACTTTCCTCGGTCACTTGGTAAGCGAGGAGGGAATTCATGTGGATCCTACCAAGATTAAAGCGATAGAGAATTGGTCGGCACCAAATACACCCACAGAAATCCGTCAATTCTTGGGTCTCGCCGGCTATTATCGAAGATTCATCCATAATTTTTCCAAAATCGCCAAACCCCTAACCACTCTAACACAGAAAGGTGTACCCTTTTGTTGGAGTGAAAAGCAAGAATCTGCGTTCCAGACGTTAAAGCAAGCCTTGTGTAGCGCACCTGTTCTGTCCCTACCCGAAGGGACAGAAGACTTCGTTATCTATTGTGATGCGTCTAATCAGGGCTTAGGCTGTGTGCTTATGCAAAGAGGAAAAGTGATTGCTTATGCCTCAAGACAGCTGAAAGCACACGAGGTTAACTATACCACGCACGACTTGGAATTAGGAGCCGTAGTCTTTGCACTGAAAATTTGGAGACATTATATCTACGAAACTAAGTGTACGATCTACACTGACCATAAGACCTTGTAGCACATCCTCAATCAGAAAGACCTAAACATGAGGCAACGGTGATGGGTAGAGTTACTCAGCGATTATGAGTGCGAGATTCGCTACCATCCCGGCAATGCCAATGTGGTAGCAGATTCCCTTAGCCGAAAGGAAAGTTCAAGCTGTAAAGTGAAGACATTGATGATAACTATCCATTCCCATTTATCCATGCAAATCCGAGATGCCCAAATAGAAGCCCCTAAACCTGAGAACAAATCAAGCGAAACCTTGAGGGGAATGGATAAGAAACTTGAGATCAGAGGTGACGGAGTCTACTGTTTCATGGACTGAATCTGGATTCCAAGGTCCGGAGGATTCAGGGAGATTGTCAAGGAAGAAGCACACAAGACCAGATACTCTGTTCACCCAGGTTCGGACAAGATGTACCTAGATCTCAAGAAACAATACTGGTGGCCGAACATGAAAGTCAAGATCGCTACGTTTGTGGGCAAGTGTCTGACTTGCGCCAAAGTGAAAGTCGAGTACCAGAAACCCTCGGTTGTGCTCCAGTAACCCGAGATACCCGAGTGGAAATGGGAGATGATTACCATGGATTTCATCACCAAGTTACCCAAGTGTCCGAGTGGGTACGTGTAACGACCCAATTTTCACGTCCAGAAATTTTGTTTTTAAAACTTTACTTAGAAAACACTAATAATTAAAACATTGTTTAATTAAACCATTTCACATCGAAAACCCAAATTTGAAATCCACAACATGTAAACAACCAAAATATCAAAGTATCCATCCCAGAATAAACTCATAAGTACGGAAACAAGAGTGTGTGTGATATACTGCTACCGCGCCGGCTCCTTCCCCTTAGCTAAAGAGGTAGCTGAAACCAAAACTGAAAACTGTAAGAACGAAGCTTAGTGAGTTCCCCCACTGTACCACATACCATATAATCACATAACATACATAAATTGTCAGGCATATATGGGTGCCCGACCTACCCCTTCGGTCCTCTCGACCAGATACTGCCTAGCATACACTACTAGAAAAACCGCCTTTTACGACGCTCATTGTGCATCGTAAAAGGCTCAGACGACGCGCAAATGCGCATCAAGGAAGGCCCTATCATAAAGAGAGACGATGCGCTTTTGCACTTCGTCTATAGACGACGCGCATTTACGACGCGCAATTACGACGCTCGCTTACGACACGCATTGCGTATCAAGGAAGGCCCTGTCATAAAGGAAGACGACACGCATCCGCGTGTCGTAACCTTACGAAGCGCATGTTAATGACACGCAATACGTATCAAGAAAACCCCTGTCAAGAAAGGCCATGTCATAAATGAAGATGACACACATTTTTGCGTATCATAATTTTAAATGTTTTTAAAAAATATTATTAATAGATTTACTTATTATCAAATTAAATTTGTATTTAATGTTTCATAATAAAAAATAAAATATCATATACAAAAAATAGAATCCATTACATAAATTTAATGTCATACAAATAATCGTTCCATGGAAGGATAAAACAAATCAATAAAAGTTGTGACAAAAATTTACAAACGAATTAGATACAAAAAATACAATCCATTGCTCCTTTGCTTATTCAAGATCAACCTGCAAGTAGCTAACTAATCTGTACAAATTCACCCTTGTTTCTAATCATTTTCTTAAATACTTTACAAATATAACTCATCCATAGTACCTGAACTTTAGTTACGGCCTTGTTTCTTCTTCTTTTGAACTCATCTCTTGCAACCGTTGCTCTAAGCCTAGTCTGAATGGATACAACATCTCCTTGTCAAATTATGTGAAAAATACAACAAGAGAGTGGCCTACCTTCATAATACCAACAACTATTGAAGCAGGAATGAAAGAGAAGGCAATACTCACAACAAACTTCGATAAATAAATTTTATAAAGAGAAAAATTAATGAAAATGTAATATATCATTGTATTGTATGGTAGAATGGAATTAGGGAAGGAATGGAATGGAATGGTTCATTCCATTCCATCCAACGAAACGAAACCTAAGCATAAACACAAGGAATCATACCCCTGCAAGTTTGTGCCCACTCTTTACAAGTTTGCACCTTTCCTTATCCAAACATAACACTTTAATATCTCCATCGTCATATAACAAAATTAGTTATGAAAATAGGGTTAACAGGGAAAACAAGTCAAAAGTTGACAAAGTGTATTCAAATGAATACAACCTCCTAAATAGTTTTTATTAATAAAATTAGATACCTATTTTGATCATATGTAGTCATGTCTAAGTTTCAAAATTTTTAAGAGGGAGTAGTGGATTGCACCTGAAGTGGATTGCAGATTTGCAGTGGTAGCGGGATTTCTCTGTATTGGCTTCAACGGTGGTCTTCCGGTGGTGGCTGGTGGTCACTGAAAAACAACACATCAGTAAAAAAACCAAATCAAAGCATCCTTACCTGTTCTGTGGGCAGTGGCCACCGGATTTTGGGGGTGTTCAATGGTGGTCCTCCGGTGGTGGCTTGTGGTCACCGGGGATATACTGGAACACAACAACAAACTTCAACATGTTTTTTGTATTCAAAGATCATGACCCATGCATCTTAAAGATAACCCACCAAATCACAATATGAGATATAACACAAAACAAAAACTTCAATTCAGACTGTTCACACTCAGAAAGATACCAATATATATATATATATATATATATATATATATATATATATATATATATATATATATATATATATATATTCACCTGTGCCAATGGAAGAACCGCAAGAATGTCAACCAAAAATTAGCCACCACAAAAATATTAATTTATCCAATAATATTAAAATTTTAATTAATCAGGTTTTTATGATATAACCTTGGAAAGAAGAGAAATTTTATGATATTCTTGCCTTAAATGCACTCAGCAATTTTATGATATTCTTGCCTTAAATTCCTGGAATCTGACTGCACGGATTCTTTCATCTCCTGGAACAAATGAATTATACTTTCTACTTTCAGTACAATATCTAAATATGTTGTCATTATGAGTTACATATTGTTTTTATCAGTAAAAAAAGCATGTATACCTGATGAGATTTCAATTGAGATGCTAGGTGGAAACTTCACAACCTTCTCATTCTCCTCCCTCACAACATTTACAATGTAGCGAGTTTGTGCATCACCTAACACTATAATAATAGTTCCATCAGATATAGTTTCCCTAAAACTTGTATAATTTGTTGATTTTTCAAAGTAATGTTTTGTGATATAATATATAGAAGTAGAAGCCTATAATGAACAAATCAATGAAAAAGATTGCTATTTCTTGCATTTAACCTCATACTTTGAGAAACTATCAGATTTGAACTCCAAAAGCAACTTCCTTGCAGCTCTTTTACAAAAAGAATCTTCCTGTATATTTCATATTTACAACTTTTCCATTAAACATGTTAACAGATTCTGAATCTCTTTCTCTATTATATAGAACCAAATTCCAAGGAAAAGCTATGGTCTTAACATCTACGCTTAAATTATTTGTAGCAACATCATCACCTGCAATCTGAGAAAAAATTGAACTTTTAATTGACTAAAGCAAACAAACCAATTAAAATGTGGGAAGATGACAAAAATGCAACTCTAGAAACTCACCCGGTCAACTTCAAACCCCCGAAAGATATCCGTAGGTTTTAAACATGGAGGGGCATTTTTGGAAGTTTTTGTTTTTATTTGTTGTAATGTTAAAAAAAGTTTAGTTTTGGGATATTTGATAAAAAAACATACAGTATTAATTATCTGGTAGTGAAATGAATAAAATTGTTATAAAAATAATAGAACCATTCATTATTTTCATTTATTATTTATATATATTTTTGTGATATATGCTTATCTTCCGCCAATTTCTCAGCCTGAAGATTACCCCCTTGTAGTTCAAGATTTAAAGTTTGATTGGGTGTTACACTTTAGATTCTGGCCTAATAATAATAGTAGAATGTATGATCTAGAAGGACTCACTCCTTGTATACAGTTGATGCAGTTGCAACCTGGTAATACAGGTAAAAGACATAAATGCCCTCATCTTCATCTTCATCTTTTCTTTTTCTTTTTATTAATACTTGTGGTCATCTTCTTAGCTATTCATTTCTTTTTTTTTTTGGTTCAGTAACATTTAGTAGGTTAGAGCTTGAAGGAAAACTTGTGATGGGATTCAAAAAAGCATCACCCTCTTCTCCATCCTATCATGTCAGTCTTTTTCCTTAACCAATTTCTCGGTTGTATAAAAGACATAAATGCCCATACAACTTTTGTTTAAGTTGCTATAATGTTTCTTGACTGTAGGTCACTGAGGTTTCTATTCATGAAGAACCTTCGAAGGGTAGTTTCGGAAATAAGTCTAAAAATTCAGATGGGACATAAGCAGAGGTTGATAAAATTGCTAAAAGGAAGAAGGGGGCAAAAGATGTGTTCAAATAGCAAACATTGGGACAGCTGGGTTTTTTTCTAACCTGTTAAAGATTTGGAGTTGGCGATTTTTGATTTTGGAGTACTCCTTTGATTGGGTCGGCTTTATTTGGGTTAGATTCTGGGTTGTTAGTTGTAATAGAAAATGGTTTAGAGAATGGTTATGGATAGGTTGGTGTAGTTTTTAGTTTGTGGTCGGTTTTTTTATTGTAAGTTGCTCTTTGTATTCTTTTATTCTTTTTTAATAAATTTTGCCTGAGATTTTATCTCTTTCAGAAAAGAAAAAAAAAAAAAAAAAAAAAAAACTAGATCTTTGATGTAATACCTTCCCAAATGACACATTTTCTCTTAGTGCCTTCAATGTAGTGATCCCATAATTGACCAAACGACCAACACATGTCGGATCAATCTCCACCAGTGCACGCAAAGTCAAGGCTGACTCAGACCGTACCTACCAATCATGTCAGATTAAATATGAAATTTTCTATTTATATTAACTTCAAATTTCGTGCACCTTCACATATTTTTATTGCAACATTTACCCATTCACTCGTTCCTTTAGAGTTTAGTTATATATATGACTAACTATGTTATCATCTATAATAATTAGCCTAAAAACTAATTAAAAGTTAATAAATATTATTATCGGTAAGTAAGAAAATAATAAACAAATAAATAAATAAAACATATATTAAGATTATTAAATGAATTTTGCTTCCATTTGTAGAGATACAAAAAGTCAAATGAATTAAAAGTCTTTCTATATCTCTAACCATTGAGATAAAAAAGTTCAAAAGTAAATACGAAATACTAAATCATGTGGCTGTCACTTTAACACATATACATTTAAATTTTTGAAGAGTGCGAATACTGTAACATCCCGGAATCGCAAGAGTAGAGTTGAAGGGCTGAAAGTGTAAGTTTTAGAGGATGACTCGGCGAGTCCATGGATGACTCGGCGAGTCAGGTCGCGGTCATGGTCGCGTGTCAAGTGGCCTACTCGGCGAGTCCCTAGATGGACTCGGCGAGTAGGTGCTGTATGGAGAAAACCCTAATTTTCGGGGTTGAGCCCTATATAAAGAACATTATACTCCTCCACAGCCTCCCTTATTCCCCCCTTGAGTTCCAGAAACCCTAAATTCGTGGAGAGATCATTTGTAGAGCAAATTAGAGCTTGGAGAGGTGTTGTTTGAAGAGATCTTGAAGGAGAAGTGGCTTGGATCAAAGGGCTTTGCTTGGATTCGAGTTTGGCTGCTATTGAGGCATCTTTTGGAGGTAATATCTTCGTCCTTAGGCTGTGCATTCCTAGTTTCATCATTTTGGGGTTTGTGGGGAGTATGTCTTGGAATGTTTTGGAGTTTGGAGGATAGATCTGAGGTTGCTACCTCAGATCTGGAATATTGAAGGCCTAGAGTGCATTAAAGTTCCTGTGCTTGAGTGCTTAGTGGAGCCACCATGTCCCAAACCTTGGTTTTAAGGTGAATATGGCTTAAATCTCGTTAGATTCACGTAAAGTTTGCCACTTTACGTGATGGATGGATTGTAGGAGGTTGGATCTATGTTTTGGATCAATTGCATGGCCTGAGATGCTTCTGTATGGATTCAGATAGGTGGTACTCGACGAGTCACATGGGTAGACTCGACGAGTTGCTTGAAGATGGCCTGGGACTCGACGAGTTGGAAGAACAACTCGGCGAGTAGGTTGAAGATGGCCTTGGACTCGACGAGTCCATTTGGACTCGGCGAGTCTTGTCGAGGAAGTCCCAATATTTCTGGTTGAGTCGATGAATCGGCGAGTCAAGGGATGACTCGGTGGGTTGGGTGCGAGTGGACTCAGAATTATTGGACTCGACGAGTCTTGGGGTGACTCAGCGAGTTGGGTCGCTAATTGAGGGAAGTTCTGAGCATAAGGACTCGGCGAGTCATCTGGATGACTCGGCGAGTAGGGTCAGTCAGGGGTTGACTTTGACTCGTCCAAGGTTGACCAGTTGTCTTCCAGGGGTATTTTGGTAATTAAGGGTATTTATTGAGTTGTATGTTTTGATGTTTAGTGAAGGAGTTCGTGCCGGAGTTCGGAGCAGTGGGATCTTATCTTTTCAGCCGGCAGTTTCGAGGTGAGTTATCCTCACTATATCAACAGGGTCTAAGGCACCAAGGCCGGCCCTTTATTGTATTGAGATTCGGTTATGGTTATTATGTTATTGTTTGATGTGTCTGCATCCTGGTAGCTAGGATGGTACATGCTAGGAGGCCTTGCTAAGGTCAGTGTTCCCAATATACAAAGTGATGCTATGCTAGTGACCGGTTAGGTCGGTAACCCGGTTAGGGTAATGATATGCTATGTGATCTGCTTGTTCGGTTTGTTGACTATGACTGTTATATGAGTGTATGTTTTGTGCACATGGTTGTTTGGACTGGAGATGGGTTGAGGCGGGTCCTGCTTTGTGCTGTAGTACAAGATACCTAGGGCGGACCGGTTGTTCCGAAGGCCCAGCAAGCTGTCCGGATAGGCTGTAGGCCCCACGAGGGCGGACCAGACGTGCCGAGGCTCGGAGAGTGGACCAGGCCGACTGAAGGCCCGATGCGGGCGGACCAGTCACACTGTAGACTCAGAGAGTGGACCAGGTGGGTTGAAGGCCCGATGCGGGCGGACCAACCCCACTGTAGACTCGAAGGACATGACTAGACCCGGAGGATGGATCCGTTGGACTGAAGGCCCGATACGGCGGACCAGTCACACGGTAGACCCGATATGCATGGTTGTTCTATGTTCTGTTATGTTATGTATGTTTTATATGTTTTGGACCGGAAGGTCGTAGCCTGGAAGGGCGTATACGTGGTTGGTATTTTAGGGGTATCTCACTAAGCTTTCGGGCTTACAGTTGTGGTTTGATGTTTTTCAGGTTCTTCAGGAGACTGTGGCAAGGCGAAGGCGCGATCGTACCGCTCCTCATGATTTTGTAGCAATGTGATTCTGGGAATACTCTAATGACTTGTATTGAAAACCTTTTTGTAAACATTTTAATGAAAATCAGGTTGTTTTGAAAAATTTAAATTGGTTGTATTTTTCGGATGTTACAAATACATACGAGAGAGCCAGAGAGACTTCTGGAGTCTGGAAGATGCCGATGAGACCTCGAAAACAACAAGATGAACAGACGAGACCTCGGACACAGCAAGACGAGCATCTTGAAGATACCTAGCCTGAAATGTTGAAAAAGGAAAACCACCAGATAGTTGATCCAATAAAACAACAACAACCAGAGAGTAGGCTTTTGTATGTTAGTTTCCAAGTCTGACCAAAATGCCCTTTACTAAAAAGTTTATATAACCATCTTCTAATGATAAAAAAAACCCAAGTACCGTCCATACAAATTGAATCTCTGCCAACTATGCACTTGACTAAAATACCCCTGCATCAGAACCCAATTATCAATACAAATGTAATACTATAAACATTCAGCTTGCTATGAAAACCTTGACAAATACTAAGATAATATCATGAAAACCAATTCTTTCTTTGATATGTATGAGTTTTATTTGAACAAATGTTTGCACTTATAGATCACATACATCATTCCTATACCTTTCTATTACAGTCAGTCCTTAACAGTAACTGACATGATAGGCAAAAGAAACCAACTGATAAACATAGCAGAATATGCTTTATGAAAACATACATATGAACATGGATGTTTAAAAATCCATTATTGGATCCGATACCACCAGTCATCAACAAAAAATTCAGAGAAACTTTAAAAAATCTGTACGTAATAGAAGCTTAATAGTGAGAAGGCGGTCTGATGAAATGATTCATACACAATCCCTAATTTTAAAAGATGATAGCTGGGGTCCAACAAGAAAAACCAGAATAAAAGACTCAACTTGTAACGTTTTAAGTAATAGCACCGAAGCAGCTTCTGATTAACCAGCCATAAAAGTAAGAAATAGGATTAGTCTCCTTCCTTCTAAAAGAACATCCTTTTGTAAGTCTTGCACGACCACCAATCAGCTGGCACAACACCGTCTGACAGTTTCCACACACAACCACCGTTTGAGAGTGGCTGAATACGGTTGTTATGTTGAAACAACCCTGGCACTTAAAATCCATGAAGAAAGAGTTTGGAGATTGAACAAGTCGTTTGAGCTTTTGATTCCTCTTCGCCAAATCATCTGGGGGATTAAGCAAATCAACATCGTTTGGCAAAACCATCTTGTTTCGAGATGTATGTGAATCAAGAAGTCTTGGATATCAAAGAATAGAGCTGCGCAGCAAAAACCTAAAAGAAAAAAAAGAGAGTCAATTAGAATCCAAGCATGAAGTGTTAAATTGAAGCACGAGATGAATAAATAAATCAAGTCCTTTAGCCTTCAATTCAACTAGACAAAATATGTAGCCAATAGGGAAAGTCGGTGACATGAGGAGGTGGCGGCAAAGGGATATGTACAGGTGGCGAGCAGCTTCATCCAACATTGTTGTAATCATTATCTAAGGAGGAAAAGTAGATGCCTAGACTGAAGGGTAAATATTTTAATCTAAATAGAAAAGGGTATTAAGAATTGTGAATGGGAAGTATAAAGCTAACGTTCGATGTGGGGAGAAAGAAGATGATGGCGTCAAGAAGCAAGATTAGGGCAAAGAAGGATACGAAGGGAAGGAGAAGATGCGGGGTTTCAAATTTTGGGGGATTTCCTTTCCCTCTAAACACTACACGAGAAGATGCTCTGCTGCACTGGTTGATTTTAACCTAGATACAGTAAGATATTAGAACACATCAAAGGAGTAGGGGTAGATTTTTTTCATTGCCAAAAACTAAGTGTTATGTGAGAGATTATGAGAGGTGAAAAATTAGTCTGGTTTTTAGGGTAATGAATAAGGTTGTGGTTTGTTGGTGGAGGCGGGGGAGAAGAAGATAGCTCCGACGAAGGTTAGTGGGTGTGTCTAGGGTTAGAGAGAGGGGAGGTAGAGAATGGCTTTTTGCGATCCAGAGGAGAGAGTGTAGAAGCGGGGTATTCAAAATTTTAGAATTTTAGAGACCCCCCTTTAAAAACGCGCGTTTAGTTAAAAAAATATAAAGCGACATTTTCAGATGACACACACTTAAAATATGTGCCTTCTGTGCTTTTAATTTTGTTTTGTTTGGCACAAATTCTAGGGCACACACAAATACATGTCCTCTATCCTTCAAATTTTGGAAAATTGACAATACTTTTTAGGGCACGTGCAAATGCGCGTCCTCTATCAGTGTGTGTCATTATTTGCGCGTTGTAAAAGGCTGTTTTTCTAGTAGTGATATCTGGGTGCTGGCCTCCCCTTCGGTCCTCTCGACCGGATACTGCCTAGCATATCTGGGTGCTGGCCTCCCCTTCGGTCCTCTCGACCGGATACTGGGGAAACTATTTCTCCCCTATACTACTACCACACAACATGTATCACAATATCATAATCTATCTAACATGGCTGGGTATGACTACCACTTCGGCCCTACCGACCGGATATCTTGGGGACTATCTCCCCCTACTGTCACTAGCACATAAATACAACACAGGTAGTAGTAATCCCTTAGATGAATATCACAGAGACAATCAACTACATACACTCCTACTGGTGGGCCAGCATTGTAGCCGTAGACCCACCGCTACTGGAAGGTAACTCACCTCAAAGTAGCTGCTGATCTGATCGGAAACTGACTATCTACTGCTGCTGCGGACGCCCTCCAGCTATAATTCCCACAAAACGATCAGTCAAACACTGCTAAATGTACTTAGGGTAAAATGACCCTTTTACCCTTGACCAAGTCGAAATCCAAGTCAAAGTCAACTTCCAGTTGACTGGACTCGCCGAGTCCGCGAGCAACTCGCCGAGTCCTTCCCTTACTAATCCACTCACTGAGTCACCCTTGACTCACCACTTGGGACTCTGGGGCCGACTCGAGTACCGACTCGCCGAGTCCGCGAGCAACTCGCCGAGTTCCTCGAGCGGATCCCCTACTCACTTCCAATCCACACCAGAACACCCCATACGAGGGTTTGCAGTTTTGGGGACTTCGCTACACGGTTAATTCTGTGTGCGGTTACAAAGGGTTGACCCTTCAACGCTTAAACCCCTCTTGCTATGTGAAAGTTCATATGACTCGCCGAGTTTGAAGAACAACTCGGCGAGTTCCAGGCAATCTTCATAGGACTCGCCGAGTTGTTCATCCAACTCGCCTAGTCTAATACCATCTTCATAGAACTCGCCGAGTTCCACTTTGGGACTCGCCGAGTTCCTCGACCCATTTCCCAAGTAGGCTAGATCTGAGACATGCATTGCTTCAAAACCACAGATCTAAGGTCCTAGGGCATATTTACCACGTAAAGTTGCAAACTTTACGTGCATGCACGACCCTATGAGCTCAAACATGCAATTCCAAGCTCTTTAAGTGGTCCTACACTCAATACGGACCTCAATCACCTCAACCACAAAGACTTTATGCTACTAGGATGTCCTAAAGGTCCAAATCCGAAGTCCATGCAGAACATTAACCATTACACATAGAGATTTAGGTTCTTAGGGCTTAAAACCTCTTTTTAGGGACAAGAAGGGGGGTCCAATGAACTAAAGATCAAGGTAGGAACTTTTCTACCTGAATAGAAGCCCTTCACAGAGTATATTCTGGATCTTCTTCCCTTCTTGCACTCTTCAACCTTCACCTTCTTCTCCCAAGCTCCAAACCACCTTCACAATGCTAAAAATCACCCACAAGGATACAAAGGGGGCTAGGGTTTCGTTCTACAGATCTCTGGGAGTGCTAGGGGAAATGGAGGCTGGGTTAGATCATTTAAATAGGGTGCAAACACCCGGGTTAGGGTTTCAGTCCAGACAGGGTTTACTCGCCGAGTCCCACGAGCCTACTCGCCGATTAGACAGAGCTAATCCCGCGTCTAGACCTGCTCCTACTCGGCGAGTTAGCCCTTCAACTTGTCGAGTCCAAGATTAAAATGCAATACATAAGGAGAGTTAATAATCAAGAATACATACCAGGAACCAGGTGCTACAGTACGATACCATTTGGGTAATTGTCGATCGTTTGACCAAATCCACTCACTTCATCCCGATTAAAGAATCGTTTAAGATGGAAAGACTCGCACGAATCTACATCCAAGAGGTAGTTCGACTGCACGGTGTACCTGCGTCCATTATCTCTGATCGAGATAGCAGGTTTACCTCCAGATTTTGGCAGTCTCTCCAGAAGGCTCTTGGAACTAAACTAGACATGAGCACAACTTATCACCCCCAGACCGACGGACAGAGTGACAGGACTATCCAAACCATGGAAGACATGCTTAGGGCATGTGTCATCGATTTCGAAAAGTCATGGGACACACATTTGCCTTTGATCGAGTTCTCGTACAACAACAGTTACCATACCAGTATCAAGGCTGCCCCGTTCGAAGCCCTCTATGGTCGCAAGTGCAGATCCCCTCTGTGCTGGGCCGAGGTAGGGGACACGCAGCTAGCCAAGAGTCGATTCCCCGATAGTGCTCTCACTGGTCCTAAAATCATCCGTGAAACCACCGAGAAAATCATCCAGATCCAAGAACGACTGAAAGCTTCACGAGATCGACAGAAGAGTTACGCTGATAACCGAAGGAAACCTCTGGAGTTCCAGGTTGGAGACCGTGTCCTATTAAAGGTCTCGCCCTGGAAAGGCATGGTACGCTTTGGAAAGTGTTGGAAACTTAACCCGAGGTACATTGGACCCTTCGAGATCCTCACCAGGATCGGTCCGGTAGCCTCTAAACTTCGATTACCTCACGAGCTCAGTAACATCCATCCCGTCTTCCATGTCTCAAATCTCAAAAAGTGTTTATCCGATGAAACCCTTGTGATTCCCCTAGACGAGATCGAGATCAACGAAAACTGGAACTTTGTGGAGGAACTGATCGAAATCAAGGATCGAGAGATCAAACGCATGAAACAAAGTTGCATCCCGATAGTGAAGGTTCCCTAAAATGCCAAGCGGGGACCGGAGTTCACTTGGGAGCGTGAAGACTCAATGAAACAGAAATATCCACATTTCTTCCCAGATCCATGATTTAGATCTTAATTCTGAATTTCGGGATGAAATTCCCTCTTACGGGGGGATAATGTGACAACCCAAAGTTCGTTCCATTATTTGTAACCCTTTTCGTTAATATATTCGTCGTTTTCGATTTCGTTTTCGTTACGTCATGAAATTAAGTCATAATTGTGGGACTTCTATTATGACTGAATGAGTGTCTAAACATGTTTAGAACTCATATTAACACTCCCTATTAGTAATCGGAAACATTTTAGAATCGACCATATCGGGTTACGGTAACCTAATCGGGTGCGACCAAAAGCATTGTATAACGCCGGTATCGGGTAGAATTCCACTGTGTCCAAAACTTAGAACCTATTTAAAGAGGATTAAGCTTCCATTTGAAGGTTTTTCTCTCTCTCACTACTCTCTCTCTCTCTCTAACCTCTCTCCTCAATCCAAATTCAAAGTCCAAAAAAACATTGATTTAAGGCTTCAAATCCTTAAGGTAACTTCCCTACAAAAATCCGTTAATTCTTAGGCCTCGCTGGCTACTACCGAAGGTTCATACAAAACTTCTCCAAGATTGCATAACCCCTCACCACCTTGACTTAGAAAGGTGTAACCTTCAAATGGGAAGAGAAGCAAGAAGCTATTTCCAAACGCTAAAGCAAGCCCTATGCAATGCCCCGATCATGTCTCTTCCAGAAGAGATGGAAAACTTCGTAGTCTACTTCAATGCATTAAATCAGGGGCTGGGGTGTGTGCTCATGCAATGAGGAAATGTCATTGCCTACACCTAAAGGAAGCTAAAGACACATGAGGTCAACTACACAACACATAACCTCGAACTGGGAGCAATAGTATTTTCCCTGAAGATCTGGAGACATTACCGTTATAGCACGAAGTGCACAATCTTCACGGGCCATAAAAGCCTCCAACACATCTTCAACCAGAAAGAGCTCAACATGAGGCAAATACGATGGGTAGAACTACTAAGTGACTACGAATGCGAAATTACTTATCATCCCTGAAACGCCAATGTTGTAGCAGATACACTCAGTTGAAAGGAATACTCGGGCCGCCGAGTAAAATCATTAACGATGACTATCTATTCACTCCTATCCACTTAGATCAAAGAGACTCAGCTGCAAGCCTTGAAACCCAA